AGAGGGAGCAGGGACCACACAGCCAGGCAGGTCAGCAGCAAACCTTGCTCTGCCCCCATCTGCAGCTGGGGGATGCCAGGCGAGGCAGGTACCCCTCACCAAGCCCAGTGCTCACTTGTGAAGGGGTGAGAACTGCACAGACTCTCCAGGGGCTGGAGAAGTCATGCCAGGACCCGCCTGACCCTCGCCTTGCCCAAGAAGGAACCCAGTGTCGGTGGGCCAGGCTCTGCCTGCACATGGGAAACCGGCTCATGCCAGTTTCTGCCATCGGTTGAGATTTTGTATAGGAACAATGTTCTGGAAGAATGTAGAAAAATGAAAATGTATAGTAACTAAGCACAGGAGCCGGCATTCTCTCAGAAGTTCAGATTATGTAAGGATTTGAAGAAAACTCCAGGCCAAGATGAGAGGGGAGGTGGGTAGGGGGAGGGAGTGGATATGAAAATGAACTCCAGCTGGGTGAGAAGGTGGGAAGGACTAGGTGGGATTCCTGGGGCCCAGCAACTGTGCCTTTAGAATTTATTTGGGGTTGACTCCTGTCCATATCAACTGAGTATTTACTGGCCTCCGAGTCTATGCCAAGTTCTACACCAGGAACTGCTGAGTGAAGGCTTTTAAAGGCTCTTTTGGTATTGGAATGGTGGCAGTCCTGGGAGCGGGGACCTTGGGTCATCCCTGCAATCATCCACCCGCCTCAAAGTGGCTCAGCAAACACCTCTCTGTGACAGGCCCTGAGTGGGGGACAGGCAGGGTCACAGAGCCCCTGAGGAGGTCAGAATCCTGAGAAGAGGGCAGACTCAGGAATCTGTCAGGGCTTCAAACTGTGCCCACGGCCATGATGGGTGGTTTTCTAGGCTTGGGAAACTGGGTCCTAGCAGACCAGCAGGTGAGTGTGCACCGGGCCCGCAGCGTGTTGAGGGGTCTAACCTGAGCAGTTGTAAGGGGTGCGACTGGAAAGGCAGCAGGCCTGGGACGGTGCGTGAGGGAGGGCTCGAGGGCCACCCTGAGCCAGCTGCTGAGGCAGGCAAGGACAGCAGCAGCCCAGCGCAGGCCAGGCCTGACCACAGAAAGCAGAGCATGGGCACAACGGTGGATTGGGGTGGGACACAGGCCCGGCTGAGGAGCTGGGGGTGGCAGGCAGGTCCTGAGTGTCTGTGCATGCAGTTCCTCGGTGTGCAGATCCACAGCAGCATGCCCTGCCTGGCGCATACAAGCTGCGGGCCCACATACCCTGCAACTCTCCCCTTGGGTTGGCCTCCGTTGCCTGTGGGGTCTGGCAACTGTGTTTCACCCGAAAATCTCTACAAAAAATACAAAAATTAGCCGGGTGTGGTGGTGCATTCCTGTAGTCCCAGCTACTTGGGGGTTGAGGCAGACAATCTCTTCAATGCAGGTGGTGGAGAGTGCAATGATCTGAGATCGCACCACTGCAGTCCAGCCTGAATGACAGAGCACGAGCCTCTGTCTCAAAAAAAAAAAAAAAAAAAAAAAAAGAAAAGAAAAAAAGGAAAGGAAAGGAAAGAAAAATGCCTATCATAGCAGGTATGCAGGGGAGACCCAGGCAAGGCCCTTACCAGGGCTTGGCATCTAAGTTTGTTGTTATTTTATCAAAAGCTAAAAACAACAGCTGTCTGGAGGGTGACTCCTGAAATTACCAGCATCCTCAGGCCAGGTTTGTGCCAATAAATTCCGTTTTCCGTTAACAAACGCCACCGCCCAAGCCTCTGCCACTGGGCGCAGGTCCAGGCCCTTCTGCTGTTTTTCATCAGGTGACTCTGGGGAAGTGGCTGTTATTCCCACTCGCAGATGGGAAAACTGAGGTGCTGAGGTATTTCCTGTCTCTCCCAAAGCTGGTGAACATTGGAGGGCAGTCAAACCCAGGGCTGACTCCACAACACGGATGTTGCTCGGGCCTCTGTTCTGCCTCTTACTCATCATGTGATGAGGACATGTCCTTTCACTTCTGGGGCACGTTTCCTCACGGGGGTGGGGTGCTGACAGGAAACAGACAAAGGCATCAACCGACACTTCCCAGAAAAGTAATGCAGCCTCTTATGGAAGTAAGAAAACATGCTCCGTCTCACTTAATTACAGAGGCTCATTCCAAAGTGACAGCATTTTTTTTTTTAACCCCTCAGTTTGGCTAAGATAAAAAAGTGCAGTGTGACTGAGGATGCAGGGAAATAGTGAAATAGTGACTTTTACAGGCTATTTGTGAGCATGAGAAACCAGTGTGAACTTTAGGAGGGTAGTTTCTTAAGATCGACTAACATTTTAAATGGATATATACTTTGTCCCAGAAATCAAATGCTGAGGTGGGAGAATTTATCCTAACAGTTTACAGACACAAGCACGTAAAATCCTCCTTACGCATTGTCTCAGGAGTACTGTATGTGGTTTAAAAAATTAAATGAAGTCTGCATACAGCCTAAATGCCCATCAGCAGAGGAACTGGTTAAAGAAAACAGCAACGTATAACCTTTCAGAGATATTCTGATGGAAAAAAGCAAGGTGACATAAAATATATAAAATATGTTTTTATTATGTCAAATAAGAAATATTTGTATCAGCAAATTTACTTCTAGAAGGATTATCCTCAGTAAATACAGTAATTGCCATTGAGGTAGGGAGAAGGTGTCTTCCTCCTATTTTTAACCCTTCATTCACTGTTAACTTTACTGTTTGGTTTTGTGTTTAGAGCGTGCTGTTGGCCCACTGTGTGTGCTCAGTTACTGGAAGATGTTTTGGCTGTGGCCTCAGACAGGCACTTGAGGCATAGATGTATATACAGGTCTGCCACCCGAAGAGGCAAACTGACTTGGCTTGGCCCGGCCTCTCACCCCTGTGGAGGGGACCTCTTCCTACTCATTGCAGACGGGTTCACTTGTTCCCAGCACAAGCGCAGAATGCCTTGTACTTCCCACCCCTTTGCTCCCCAGGGAGCTCTGCAAGTCCCCAGAAATACTTGCCCAACCACTGGCACCCTTGGCAAGGTCCAGCTGCTGACCACCAGCACCCTGCGACTCCCAGTGCCCATGACATCTGGAGGAACTGAGCAATGGCTGAGGTGGAATTTCATTTGGCACTTAATGCAATCCTCTGCTTCTGCCAGAGGCGGTGTATTCTATATAAAGCTGCCAAACCTGGCCGTCTTCTCACTGAGCCTTGACCCCTTCCATCCAAAGGCAAGGCCACGGATCGCTGTGCATGACTCCCACGCAGTAAATGTGGCATTGGGACCTAGCCCAGCTGAGCTGAGCAAAGCAGGCCTGCCTGGCGGAAGTGGGTCCTCTCCACTCTAACCTCTGGCTCTGATGAGCAGCGGCTACATAAACTGAGACAGGATATAGACACATCCTGCCTGAGTTAGCAGCAAGAAATAGCCGCCCCCCTTCCGCCCCCACCCCCCACTCCCCTGCCGTTCTCGCACAGCAGGGATCCTGCCATAAATCAGTCCGCAGTCTAAAGCGGAATGGCTTGCAAGCAAGGGCTGCGCCGCTGTTTGTCTCCCAAGGCAAGTGTTGAAGGTCTGAAACCTGAGTCCTGGAGAACTGCTTGAGCGGCTGGGCTGGGCTGGGCACGGGGGCGGGGGTCAGGCAAGCCCATCCTCTTCAGACATGGGAATGCCTGTCAGCCTCACCTCCTCAGTGCCTGAATTGGAATAATGACAGTGGCTTCTGTCCCTTTAACCCAGGACCCGCCATATACACACACACAAACACGTGCTCAAGTTACACACACACACACGTAAACTCCGGGAACCACAGTCTCATGTACAATGATATAAACATGCCCAGCACGGATCCAGCACTTGTGATGTGTCAGTCTCCGTGCCGGGACATTGACACGGACTTCTTACTGCTGGATGAGGAATCTCCTGTTATTATTCCTACTTTGCAGATGAGGAAACTGGAGCTAAGAGAGGCTGCCTTGTTTAGAGGCAGTGCAGTGATCCCAGTGCAGACTGAGGGGCCTCGCTCTCAAGTACCATTGATGCCCGCGCACTCCCAGGCCGACCCAAGCACAACCACGGGCACACGGAGTGCCGTGTACACACGTAGACCGAAGCTACACTCCTCCATGCCAAGCTCCAGGCTCGGGCAGGGTGAGGGTTGAGGCCTCACAACCCCCTGGATTTCAAAGACTTATAAAAGAGTTGGGGTGTCCAATACCCATATCATCATCATATCAATAAGGTAACATTATCACATGATAGGCTCAGGCTATCTCCTCTCTGACAGACTCTAAGAATAAGACCGCGGCAGGGTGGGGGATAAGAGGGATATGCATTAGGTTTTTAGGTAAAATAAAATGATAGTTATTATTGCAAAAGTAACAGCAGAGGAAGAGGGCAGAGAGAGGCCCAGCAATGTTTCCAACCACCTACAAAGACTTTCATCGCATGTGATTTCCTGTCAGCAAGAAAACGTGATGGTTTAAAAGAGAAAGAAAACAAGCAGCGAGGAATTACAAATCCCCAAAGGATCCAGGCCGCAGGATTCCCCCACATCTGTGTGCCTTTGCGGTGCCCAGCGGAGCGAGCAAGTCCCTGGGCAAGGCTGGAGTTGCCTGGAGTTCACCAGAGCCTGCCCGGTCGGCCCCTGGCTGGGGGAGCAGCACAGACGCAACTTGTGATGTAGACTCTTCCCTAACTGTTCTTTAGGGGGACAGTGCTGGTCCCACACATTTCCCATACCCCGCACAAAGAAACAGAAAGCGGGCGACACGCCCTGGGCGGGCGGGCTGGCGGCCTCTCCAGCTCGGGGCGCGTGGAGGCTGCGCGTCGCCGTCCGGGACGCGGGACGGGGACTCCGCGCAGCCCAGGCGCCGGGGAACCGGGGCTGGAGTCGGGGATCTGAGCCCAGCGGGCGCCTCCTCCGCCTGGAGGCCGGGCACGGACCGGGACACCCGGGAGTCCGTGACCGCGGCTCGGCCCCCGGCTGCTGCGGGCCGCGGCCTCCAGTGGGTCCCCAGGACCCCTCCCCACGGCGGGTACTCACCGAGGCCGAGTGGCCGCGCCGTGCCGTTGGGGCTGCTGGTCCTGGGCATCAGCCCGGGCAGAGACCGCGGGGAAGGACCGGACCGGGCCGGGCCGGGGGAGGGTCGCGCTCCCGGGCTCCTGACCCTCAGCGGCGAGAGGAAGCGGCACCTGGGTCACACTCCTCCCGCGCGGGCCGAGGGGAGGGGCTCTGGCCCGGAGATAGGCAGACTTCATTTTTTTCCTGCAGACTTGGCTAGTGGGGTTTCCACCCTTTTTTTTTTTTTTTTTTTTAACACACACCCGCCCACTTCTGAACTCTTCTTTGCTCCAACTTTCCTGCGCAAGAACCACGCTTTTCTAACCGTTTCTCTTTCCATCTGCCACTACCGGATACAGAGGTTGTGGTTGAGAATTCCCCCTGGAGTGCAGGGAAAACTCTCCAATGTGTCAAGATGGCCTGGCCCAGCACTGTCGGGAATGGTGACCAAATAGGGCAGACCTGTGTTGAAATCTTGGCTGGCTGCGCGGCCGCTGGATAGCTGGGCGGCCTCTCTGAGCTAGCCACGGGGCATTTGTCCCTGGAGAGAGTCCCTGTCTTGTTGGCCTTTGGGGGCCCTGTACCCATGGATGGGGTGTTGAGCAAAGATCTTTCCAAAACAGGAAGAATTGCTGGACAAGGGTTGTGATTTGTTCCCATTGCTTTTGTCTGAAGCTGCCAGACACAGTGCAGTTTGTGAATTCGCTCTACTTTTGCCATGAAAACCTCCACAGGGATTTCGTTACATACTTTGGTTGGTTAAATGCAGTCAACTGGTACCACCTACAAAAAAGTGTATCATAGCATTATCTGCCCCTTCTGCCCAGAGACAAGGGCAGGGAACTTGAGGCCCTTGTTTTAAATCCCCGCCCAGGGGAACACCCTGTGCTTCTCCTGTGTGATATCTGAACCGTCCTGTGCTGCTTTTCTTTTTTTTTTTTTTTAATTGTACTTTATGTTCTAGGGTACATGTGCACAACATGCAGGTTTGTTACATATACATACATGTGCCATGTTGGTGTGCTGCACCCATTAACTCGTTATTTACATTAGGTATGTCTCCTAATGCTATCCCTCCCCCTCCCACCACCCCACCACAGGCCCAGGTGTGTGATGTTCCACTTCCTGTGTTCAAGTGTTCTCATTGTTCAGTTGCCACCTGTGAGTGAGAACATGCGGTGTTTGGTTTTCTGTTCTTGTGTTAGTTTGCTGAGAATGATGGTTTCCAGCTGCATCCATGTCCCTACAAAGGACAGGAACTCATCCTTTTTTATGGCTGCATAGTATTCCATGATGTGTATGTGCCACATTTTCTTAATCCAGTCTGTTATTGATGGTTATTTGGGTTGGTTCACAAGTCTTTGCTATTGTGAATAGTGCCGCAATAAACATATGTACTTTATAGTTCCCCAAGCACTTTTGTGACGCCCTTGTCTCCCCTACCTTCTGCCATTAAGGCCTGTCCTGCACAATCCAGAGAGCCAGGCCAGTTGTCTGTACAGTGTATGGGCAGTGCCTTTGGGGCTGTCATCTGCATTGAATACAATGAGAGGCTGAGCCCTGGAGATGTGCAACACAGAGGCTTTGCTCACCTCTACCTGGGCTGCACAAACTCCAGGCCTTCTTGACGCAGTGGGAAAGCACTTATGATTCACTTTAGTTAGATCATGAAGAACCCCCGATGCTGACAGATCTTTAGTCCAACTGCCATGTGCAGCACAGCCATGTTGAATTGAAATAAACTCCTCACCGAATGCCCTGAGTCTTGATTTCCTCATCTATAAGTATTCCAGGGTTTTACAGAGGCAGTGATTGTAGAATCACAGTGGGAACAGAAAAGGCATTTAATAAACAGAAACGAGCAATGATTAATTCATTTATTTTTATTTTTTATTTTCTGAGACGGAGTTTTTGCTCTTGTTGCCCAGGCTGGAGTGCAATGGCATGATCTCGGCTCACCACAACCTCCGCCTCCTGGGTTCAAGCAATTCTCCTGCCTCAACCTCCCAAGTACCTGGGATTACAAGCCTGTGCCTCCATGCCTGGCTAATTTTGTATTTTTAGTAGAGACAGGGTTTCTCCATGTTGGTCAGACGGGTCTCGAACTCCCGACCTCATGTGATCCGCCCGCCTTGGCCTTCCAAAGTGCTGGGATTATAGGCGTGAGCCACCGCGCCCATGATTAACAGTTTAACTTTTTTTTTTTTTTTTTGGTAATATATACATTTATGTCTAGGTGGAACAGTAGTCCGCCTCCCCTGTCCTGAGACAAAATAACTTTAATTATCTGAAATGCAGCTGGAAAGTTGGAAAGAAGCAGAAACTCCTGCCAGGTAACAAAGAATAAGTCATTAGGTCATTGCAGCACACTTAGAGACTTTTACAGACTCATTTAGAACCTACTGGCCTTAGACATAATCATAAGCAATTTCCTTAATTTCTTAGGGTAGGACGGGTTGAAGGTATCAAAATGTTCCAGAGAATTCCTTACAGAAAAGCCAAAAAAATTAATAAACTGACTAAACAGCGAAAATTGAAAGCCCCACAAACTGCAGAGGTCAGATACAAGAACGAAGTAGCATTTGTTACAGAACTAAAACAATCTCAGCTCCAGCCATCACTGGAGGATGTAACAGTTCCTTGTGCTATTAAAGAGCCAGGGCTTTGGAACTCAATCTGGGTTAGTTACTCTCCTGCCTACTAGTTGTGTAACCTTCAGCATTTTACTTTCTTTCTCTGAGCCTCAATTTTCTCATCCTGGAAATTGGAGCAATCTGCAAAGTTAGGCTGTTGTGAGTAATATATTCGATATTAATGGGGTAATTACAATGAAAGTACACTGGAGTTACTTAAAGATACTGGCCCCCTTCCTCCTCTAACACATACTTTGTTTATAGTAAGGACCCCAGGTCATTTGAAAAAGAAAGTAAATAGTGTTTCATAGTGTGTAGCAAATTATCTAGCAGGGAAACATTTGATATATTTTGGAAAATTTAACTATGAAAGCATCTAAAGTTAAATAAATGACTGTTATTTGAAGAAGGGAAAATAATCATATAAAAAATTTAATTATATGACAACAGTCTGACATTAAGTCAAGAAATGCATCATTAGTGTGTCTTCATGTGTTGGATATTTATTCATGAGGTTAAAAAAACTCAGCTGTATCTTGCAACAAAAAACCAGTTCTTATCTTGTCTAGTTCCCATAAATACTCTTAAACAGAGTATTGCCAAGAGTCCATTGTAAAGATGAGAACCCAGAGGTTCAGAGCTGTGACAAGAACTTGCTCTGCAGTGCAGGTGGGATTGATGGTTCTAGCTGTGTCTTCATTGACTGTACTGTGGCTGATACAAGCTGCAGAGCCCTCCAAGGTGTGAGATGGTGTGATCCAGTCCTGGGAGGTGAATTTTCTCTTCATCTTCAAGGAAGAAACTGCTCATGGGAAACTGCCCTCCAAATCTTCAGTGCTAGTTCCTTATTGGGAGCAGGGTTGGAGGTCCCCTGCTGCTCTTGCTGTCTCCTGGGTGAACCCTTACAGACAGTGGTGGGTAGATGTTACTTGAGCCCTTTAATGAAAGGTTTTGCCCCTCATCACAGTAACACATGCTTTTAGTGCAAAAAGAAAAAAAAATAAATAGAGAAAAAGCCAAAAAGATACCTAAACCCTAAGAATTGCTGGCAATCTCTAGCACATTAAAGCTATTTACCTTTAGTCTTTTTTATGCATTTATGAATATTTGCTTTATATTCTTGAGATTTTACTGAATGTGGGATTTCAAGTGCTGAGCTTTTACTACCAAACATTATGTCATGAGCATTTTCTCATATAAAAGTAGAAAAGCTCTTTAACTCATTTTAATTACTAGGTTGTTTCCTTTTCTTTGCTAGTTGAATAGTGCTGTGATAAACCATATGAACTTAAATATCTGGATTTCATAAGTTTTTCCTTAGCGTATATTCCGACAAGCAGAATTACTCAATCAAAGGTTAGAAGTGTATTTAAAGCTTTTGATACATTCATAAGTTGTGGCTGTAACCTTTACTTTCTTTCCAATCAAGAGTACCAGTGTTTATCTCAGAGTCTCTTGCCAGAACTAAACAGTAACTTTAAAATCATAGTTAATTCTGTAGATAAGCAACATATGTAGTTATTTGTGTTAGCATTTTCTTTGATTACCAGAGAGGCCGAATATGCAGTCACATGCTTATTTATAAATCGCAGGTTCTTCTAGGTGACTATTTTATTCACACTGTTTCCTCATTTGGAGGTGTGATAGTTAATACTGAATGTCAACTTGATTGGATTGAAGGATACAAAATATTAATCCTGGGTATGTCTGTGAGGGTGTTGCCAAAAGAGATTATTAACATTTGGGTCAGTGGGCTGGGGAAGGTAATCCACCTTAATCTGGTGGGCACCATCTAATCAGCCTCCATCTAATCAGCAGGCAGAAAACCGTGAAAACAAGGAATGGATCTGGCCTCCCAGCCTACATCTTTCTCCCGAACGTCAGACTTTCTGCCCTCGAACGTCAGACTCCAAGTTCTTCAGTTTGGGGACTTGGACTGGCTCTCCTTCCTCCTCAGCTTGCAGACAGCCTATTGTGGGACCTTGTGATCATGTAAGGTAATGCTTAATAAGCTCCACTATATATACACACACACACACACACACACACACACATATATAAGTCATATATATACATATATACAAGTGTATATATATACATACATACACACACACATATAAGTCATATATATACATATATACAAGTATATATATACACATATACACACACACACACACACACACACATATATATAGAGAGAGAGAGAGAGAGAGAGAGATCCTATTAGTTCTGTCCCTCTAAGAGAACCTTGACTAATACAAATTTTGGTACCAGGAGTGGTTCTAGAGGAACAGAATATTAAGGATGGAGTTCTTTCATTGGTTTGGGGGTTTCTGGAGTTGGCTGCTTAAGATGATTAGACCCCAAAATGCTAAGGACTCTATTTCTAATAGCATGGAGAACACTGAGAGTCCTTGGCATGAACTGTTTAGAGAGTTACGCAAAATAAATGCATTTGACACTCCTGATTCACTGCTCATAAGAAGCAAGGAGTTTAGTAACTTTATACATAATACCTTTCATCATATGTGGAGAAACAAGGAACATAATGAAGCTGG